TAAGCGGTCCGACGGTATCGCATACCTTTATTATCTCGACAGTTGCTTTGAGGTCTGCTAATGATTATAATGGCGGATTTCGCGTATATTGCGGTGATTAGTGAATTTTTGTTGTTACATAAAAATTACCCATCATTAAATTATCATTTTAAAATTTGAATACTGATCTGTGCGCAAATAGCGCGTATATTACACATATAGTGTTAATTCTTATAGTAAATTGATTATAAAGAAAACTTAAAATTAGTAATATTTCACTCGCCCACATGAATAATGATAGGTATTAAAATATAATTTATTATATAATATTAAACACTTAATGAATAAAATAAATGTTTACAAAAAACTGTGATTATTTTCTGCATAAAATATATTGTCCACCCTTCTCTATAGTAAGCGTTTAAATGGGTAAAGCCTAGATTCAACCTTTGAGTACCTAGATCCGAGATAGGGCCCACTTCGTCTAACAGGCTTCGTTAACTGCGCTCACCTGTCATCCATCTTACGCCTTGCCACTTATAACGTTAATACACATGAACATTTACTTTACCATATTAACTTTGTACTAACTCCCCTACATGAGTATCATTGTCTCACTCACTAAGAACAGTAACTTCAAGATAAAGTGAATAGTATAGAATAGAAATACTTTATTTACTATTATTAGGTGTTAATAAAGTTAATACTAAGCGTCTAAATTTAATACGAGTATATATTTATTTTTAATGTCAGTAATTAATTTTTTTTTTATTTAACAATTGTTAAATTGCAATTAGGTGTTTATAAATAAATGTTAAAGAACTTCTTTATAAAATGTCATTCTTTTTAAATTATATTATTCTGATAATTGTTGAATTTTTTCACATGAACTATAATTTTATTAATTTTGGTTTACATGTATTAACACTTTCAGTGAATGATGTCTCTGATCTTGCAATCATTCGCAAGACGTATGTTACAATGCAAACAAAGGGCATTGTCGACCGTGTGAAAAAATTCATGACCTTTTTAAAGAAGCAAATTAATAAAATACATGAGAAATTATATTTTTTTGAATATATCAATATACCTACAATTTGTATGTCTTGAAGAAATCGACTAGAATAGCTTGTTCTAAAATATTGTTGCGTCCAATGAAAAAGCGGCACGGTCGTTAACTACGCCTCCCACGTCGTGTGAATACTTTTATGAATATCATAAATCAGACAACAATATTACAGAATCAACTATAAAATAGACAACTGAACTATGTTATAATATATTATAAACAAAACAGCTACTTACATATTACAGTCTCTCATTACAAGACATTATTATAGAAACTTTAGTTTTCATTTATTTTATTTTATTTTATTTATTAGGCGCACATAACAGAAGTTTTTCTACAAAACATACTAGATATACCTACTATATTCTCGCGGTTTCGTCTACGTAGATTGACATAAATAGAAATTTATGTATTTATTTATATATGTGAATTCCTATTCATTTATTAACAAACAACTAAACATGTTTAGAAAATTTCACACACAATTTTCATCATCATCATCTCAGCCATTATCTGTCCACTGCTGAACATAAGCATCCCCCATAGACTGCCATAAGGAACGGTTCTGAGTCACCTGCAATGCCATTGACTGCATGCAATGCATTTGAGGTCGTCACAATATTACTATGAACAAATTTGCTCAGATTTTTAGATGTTTGTTCCAATCACGTTAAATGATAAAATAGCAGAATGTAAAAATTACAAGAAAACAGAACTATATTTTCTATTTTTTTTTTTCATATAGAGTGAAATTAAAATCATATAATCTTTCTAGTTACGAATGTTCTATTAGTGAAACTACTTAGAGATTCCAAATATAATAGACACACACTGTTTTTATAGTACAAATTTTTAGTTACTTTTTAATCCGTGTTTTTTAAAATACGTTCAGTTTCACTGATATTTTCTTAAAAATATGCTAATATTATCATTGTGTATATAGATAAATATGTACATAATGTCTCAATTAAGTATATTGACTGGACCCAGGATCTATCATCATTTTCATCATCATATCAGACTTTAACTGTCCACTGCTGAACATAACCCTCTTCTTGGGGGGTTTTGCTAGCAGTTAACAGTTGTGACAGGCGGATTGACCACAGTTAGCAATTAGGCTTTGAAGTTATATTAAAAAAGGCGCTGATACCTATCCCTCGCTTTTCCTTAAACGCCTCTTACGACACCTACGGGAAAGGGAAGGATGGCCTATTCTATGCCGGGACTACACGTCACCCAGGATCTATACAATCTTGAAATATCTCTATTGTTCAATTTTAAGAAATTTATTAAAACGTGTGTAGATATCTTACAAATCAAAATTAAATATGTGAACCATTACTTAACGTGTCTCTTTGGGCAGTTATACGCACCTATAGTACTCGAGCTATCTACATGCAATAAATTTCGTACAACAATGCATTGATAGAGTTTGCACCCCTATCTGTAGCCTCGAATGCCCTTTGTGTGTGTAAGGACACTCTTATTGCATTGTAACAGGGGCGATTGTAAGTTATAACTATCGAGGAATACGAATGTCTGATACTGTACGAAACGTATAGTTCAAGGGACACAGTTACATTAAAAAACTCAATAGTTATGCTAGAAATTAATCTGAATTTTTTACGGAAAAATTATATGGTATAGATAAATAAATAGATACTCTTTACTGTTTCTTCCAAAAGGTTATTAATTCTTCCAAAAAATAAAACAAAATACAAACAATTACAAGGAAATATTACGTTGAAAAAACTATGGGCTGCCTTATCGCTGAGAATGATCTCCTCCAAGCAACCTTTAGATAAAGTAATTATAGTTTGATCGGAGGCACGAAACTCTGTTCGTTTTTTTTTTTAATACTTATAGAGATAAATTACGAACAATAATATGAATATATAATGTATATTTTAACTTACTGATATATGCTTAAATAAATCTATATACATTCAAATATATACATACAAATACAGATACACATGTAATTGTAAAAATAAAAATTAAAACAATGTGGGTATTACAAATATGACAACATACTTGGAACATGTATATAAATCCTTAACTTTTGTTTTAAAACTAAGTAGATATTATATATTTCATATAGAGATTGGTAGATTATTCCATAACAGTTTGCACAGTAAACGATTTGCCATAAACACTTCTGAAATGTACTGGTGTCTACAACTTCAGACTACCAGACGACTTCATATTAAGGGAATTAATGTATGAATATGAAGGCAGTTAATTTTAGGTAGCAAGAAGAAGAAGGATTGGAAAGGATATTGTGGAGCAATAAAAGAATGTGAGTATACCGTAATAATAGAAAAAAATCAAAATACTCTGCTAAATCTTTATTAAATCAAAATATAAAAAATAATATTATATTTCTCTTTTCCTAAAGACTGATTAATATATCCACTTTTTTCTAGATATATTTTATAAAAAAAAATTAAGAATAAATATTAAAAATAAATTATAGAAAGTACCCTATCTCCAGGACAGCTCTGATGACCATTAGCGTGGCAGGCTGCAGCTGACATTTTCGCATGTGAACTGCACGAGACCTCTTTCAATTTTGTTCACTAAACTGTATCAACTATGATGTTGGAGGTATTTGGTGGGTTTTATCTAAATTAAAATATTGAGAACCTAAATATAGTAATATATATTACAACATTATAGGTAGTGTGAGTAAATAATTTAAAAAAAATTGTAAAGTTTGGTTTTCACTGACACACAATGGGTTCTGATTCCATACATACATACATACATATCTGTCACGCCTGTCTCCCATTAGGGTAGGTAGAAACAATGGAACGCCAAATGGTTCGATTCAAACAAACCTATTTCGCTTCTTCCTCTTTCCTTCTTTCTTCTTCTTCTGGTTCCGTATATAAATATTATGTTTATAGCTATGACTACGATTTTGTTTGTTTACTAGTAGAATTTATTTTACAAACTAAAGTTTTTAGTTACTATCTCTTATAAAGAGAGCATTTGTGTTTTTAAATGTCTATTTACTCTTAATTCTTAATTTAGCAAAACTACATATAAATGTCATAAAGTTATATATTCCGATATTTGTATTGTTTTCAGAATGCTTTCACATTACAGTTTTTTCAGAAAAAATATGTCCGTCTTACCGAACAACACCAAGCACTCAATGAAGTATGTCAAACTATATTTGCCTGGAGTGATGTATATTGCCATCATTTATCAGAAAACTTTAATGTCAAAAAAATTTTGGAGTAAAAGTGATACATTATTTATTTATTACTATTTTTTTAAATTTATTTTATATATATAGTTAAACTACACTGCTAAAATAGTCCCTTAAATAATAGCTAGTGATTTTAACTTCATTGATAATATTATTTTTGAATATTTTCAGAACAATATTTTTGCCAGACCGTACTTGCATTGAGAACAGAAACATTAAAGAATGACTGCTGGACCAGTAAGGAAAACTCAGTTGAGTTAAGAAAATATTAGTGGGATGTTATTGGGACGACGTACGATAAACGCGGAACATCCAACATAGAAGCACCGGTATTATATGACAACTGTGTCTTCCACTTTACACAACGGCATGACACTATGAAAATACTATGAAAAAAGTACGAGAGTGTAAACATTATGCAATATTAGTGGTGTCAGCGACGGCTGCACTGTCGCCTACCGCCGGTCGCGCACCGCGCGTGGTGGCTGTTAAATGCCGCAAGTGCGGTCCGTCGTCCCGCTTGCACCGCCGCGCTCGCCGCACCTCTCGCTCGCGCCGGCGCGAACACGTGTTTATTTGTATGTTTTATCCTTCGGCGGCTTTAAACCCAACCCACTCCAACCGCAAAGTGCGCTCCGCCGCCCGCCGCGCCCGCGCCGTCGCCGCCTCTCGCTCACCGCTGCCGCTGCCGCGGAGCCGCACCGACTCGCCCGCGAAACTTTGTCCGAAGTCGACGGGCGCGGACGTACGCCGCGTATTAATAGCCACCGTGAACGGCCACCGCAACCGAGGGCGGCCCCACGCGCCGCGAGTCGCACCGCAACCGCGCACCCAAACGCACGCATAGCACGCAACTAACGTCTAAACCATACACACCATCTCGTAATACGTACGAAGCGAAAAGCGAAACTAAATACGGAATTCCAAATAGTCAAAAACCGAACGTCGAAAGTGAGAGGGACGTGCGTGCGGTGGTCGCGTAAATACGCGTCACGAAAAAAGTGCCGTCAGTGAAACTAGTGAAAAGTTTTTTCGCCGCGCGCGGGGGAGCCACCCTCTGCGCCGGAAAAAATCGGCCCCTCGCGTCCCTCGCCCGCCTACCGCCGAACTTTTCATTCACGGGGGAAAAAAGTGTGGCAAGGCCGTCGTGACGTCACAGCGTCAAGTGGCCACGCGCGCGTTTCCTAGCAACGGATCACGTCTCGTCAGCTCGTCTTTAAAAAATTTTGAATCGTCGGTAGTTAGGAGTTGGTGAACAATGGTACTTGTAAACGAGAATGTGGTGTCGGCACGGTGGTTGTCTCCGGCTTGGAGGAAGGAGTGACATGTAGCGAAGGGCGCGAGCACAGTGGACTATATGTGTAGTACACAGCGCGCGCGGGTGTCAAGGATGCACCTGACGGGCGCGAGCAGCGGCGCCGTGTCGCCCGACACCAGTTCCACGCTGCTGCACGAGACGTACACGAAGATGACATCGGACATCCTCGCGGAACGAACTCTTGGGGACTTCCTGTCCGAACACCCTGGGGAGTTGGTTCGGACGGGCAGTCCTCACTTCGTGTGTACGGTGTTACCGCCACACTGGCGGTCAAATAAGACGTTACCGGTGGCGTTCAAAGTGGTTGCACTGGGCGACGTCGGGGACGGCACGCTGGTCACTGTTCGGGCTGGCAACGATGAGAACTGCTGCGCGGAGCTGAGGAACAGTTCAGCAGTCATGAAGAACCAAGTGGCGAAGTTTAACGACTTGAGATTTGTCGGCCGCAGTGGGCGCGGTGAGTGCTGAAGGTGCAGTTATGTTATACACAATGAGTTTTATCTATCTTGATTTCAAAATAAAACGTAACTTATGCGTAATTTTGAAAAGGTGAAAGAGCACTATTAATTTTTAATTTTTTAATTATAGTTTCTAATTCGAATAACTTTAATGAAAGTATCATTAAAGTTATCTGAATTAAAATAACAATTAGGTACATGATAACATAATATTATTTAATATCACTATAATATTATTCTAATTATAGGTGAGTAATATTTATATTAAAATCTAATTAACAATAATATCTTATAGATAAAAATGAAGTTATACTGTAAAAAAAGTGTAAAAAGTCTCACAATTAACATTAAAAATAATATAATTAATACTCAATGCTTCATTACAAAATATTCCTAACAAAGTTTTAGTCTACGAAGTCTGTGACATTGAAAAGTGTTCGAAACTTTTTCGAAACAACTTAAGAAGTTACGTGAATGTCAAATAAGAAGAGGGCGGCAGATTTGGGCGGCTATTTCCGCCCTACACTTTGCCGCCCACCCTTTCTTCAAGAAAGTTAACTTTTTCACAAATGCGTATCTGAAGTGATTTGTTTAATACGCTATTTAAGAAAATAAAACTTTAAGAGCGGAAAAATTTGCAATTTAATAGACAGTATATATGTAGCAACATATATACTGTCATATAATATGTTATTTATGGTATATATTAGATATATATTAATACTAATGAGTCGCCCCGGCTTCGTACGGGTGAAATATAAAAACCAATGTGGTATCAGTATGGACAGATTAATAATATTACTATTGTAACTGTCTAAATAGCATTCCAAGCTCTACATAATTAGTATTATTTTTTAAATTTTAAAATGGTAGAAAGCTATTCTAATAATATAGATATATATATCGCTGACTTTTTGGAGCCCTAATGTAGCGGGACAATTCCATCATATATTATTTTGTTATATATATTTCAAAACAATGAGACAGTATTTTCGACGAAAGCTCTCAGTCGGCTTGTTTTCTTCCAATATCTTGAACAATTATCGTCACATTCGAACAAATTAATACGAATCAATATTAACCTATACGTATAAACCTTCCTACTGAATCACTCTATCTATTGTGAAAAACACACACTCCTAGCAAGTGTTCATAATCCGTAATCGTTTCCATTAAACGAGCCGTATGCTTGTTTGCCACCTTCGTAATATATAAAACAAAACAAAAAAAAACATTAAAATCCATTGCGTAGTTTGAAAGATCTAAACGTACAAATGGCGGATAACGACTTTCTTTTATACTATGTAGAAATATAAAAAAATAGCTTTATTGTTTGTACAAAACTTTTCATAATGGAGACGAATCTAACGACAACCAATTTATTAAAATCCATCGATCCACTTAGCCTACACATTGCACCAAAGATACAGATTATTAACATTATATAATAAATGTCAAAATGAATTTGTTTGTATGTTAGCACCTCGATTATGGCGTTGGCTGAACTAATTGTTATGAAATTTGGTATATGTGTACTATATGGAATGGAGAATGACTATTTATCCCGATCAATCAATATATTTCCTTTATAAAGGCGAACTCACGGATAATACGAGTACATTCGAAAATCTGAATCTTTCATAGGTAGATAATTAAAAAGTATATCACTCACAAAAGTATATCAATCGTGATATAGGGATGAGCAGCAGAGTTCTTCGTAAAAGATCACCAAATCCTAAATGCGATTGTCAACCTGGCCGCCAAACGTGGCAACTACTGGCAATACCCACCCATATGAGAGGTCAATGTTCAGCAGTGGACAATTAACGGCTGACATAATAATACTAATGATCCTGATAGGTAGATAGGATACAAATTATACAAACATAACATTTTCAAACACAAAATAAATTATAAATCTTTTACTGTAAAATCAAATTGTAGCTTATGTTAATTTAAATAAAGTTATAAAAATAAAAATACAAAATGTAATGGGTATCTTACCTTAGTACATTTAATTACCAGCGAAATAACTAAAATTATAAAAAAAAACTGGAATTTTCGATGCGATTTATGTAAATCTATGTATGAAAGATATGACAGGAAAAGGTTGCAAGTAGTTTAGTTATGTTACAAACGCTAAAGTTAAAATGGACAAACCGTTTGCACTTTTAAGTGCCTGGATAAATTTGGATGAAATAGATAGATGGTATTAATATGCAAAACGTGCAAAAACTCAGCATTTACATACATACATACTTACATGTTCATGTTTCTAATATTTGTTGAAGACAAAAATTAGTTGGGAAAAATGGAATAACCCATTTTCCTGTTTCCATACAAACTGTTCCTAGCTCTCAATCTTTAACGAATCAGCGGTATATTTTTTTATTGAATGAAATTTTACTTGAATTGACATAAGTTATTTATTATTTGTAATTGTTTTATTAAAAATCATAATTTAACAGATATTGTACAATATTAATATTTGTACGCTCTATTTTCAATGAAACGGCGCACTACATATTTTACAACATCAAACTTATGGTATACTGTGCCTATGTTTATGCAAAGAAATTATTGATTAATCGATTGAATCAGTTATCATAAAATTTGATACATATGTATTCTATTGGTACATATGTATTATCTATTTGCCATAGAAAAGGCTAAAAGGCTTTTTATTTTTAATAAAAACATCATAAATTTACCATTTAAAGTAGGCGTTCCAAAGAAAATGGTCATGTTAAAGACAGCAAAAAATATATAATATACTAACAAGTCTTTTATTATTTTCATTTTATTCATATATACTTTCATTATATATTTCTGTTAACTGTTTTCTGCTAAATATAGGTCTCCCCTATAAGGGGATTTTGCCAGTAGTTGCCACACTTGGTAGGCGTGTTGGCAAACGTAGTTAGTTTTTCACTGATATTTTAAGAGGGACGTTGCTGCATATCCCTCGACCATTAAGTCCCTTTAGTTGCCTTTTCTATGCCGGAATCATACAGCAACTAACAACTGTTTACTGGGCCCCATTTTACGAAGCAATAAGTCTACAAGCAAATTAGTTAATAGTCTATGTTATTAGTTAGAAATTCTAATAAATAATAACAGTAAACCAATAAAAAATATTAAATTGACTTGGTTGCGTATTGGTACATGGTTGGTATATGCTTGATACTACTTAAAAATTGGAGAATTGTTTTCGTCAGTAATTTATAGGGACTTAAAATAAAATTATAACATATCATTTGTTTAGGTTAGTTATTTATCGCTTTAAATAGCCAATTTTTTCTTATATACATAATTATTATAAAAATACTTATAGTAAATATTCAATCGACATCAAAACTTCTCAATTCAAGAGGAGATTTTCAATTTATTTATATGTTTTTTTTTTGTGTGTAATATGTCTAATACAGAGAAAATTGGACCAATACAAAAAGGCATACTTAGATTATTTCAGTTATACTGCATCACCAAGTTCGTTGACTTTACATTATCATGAAATATCAAATGTTCCATATATTTTTCTGTGAAAAATACCTACAATAATAAATTAATAAAATTGTTTAATATTTTACACACATTATTTAATTTTTGGTATTAATTCATGAGCTAATATTATTAAGATAATATGCTTGGTAAAATGGGGTCCTGAAAGTACAATAAATATTTTAGTAATCAGAATCGCAAAACATAATATTTAGAAATGATAGAATATTTAATTACGAACAACGTAAACAAGTAATATTAGATTTACTTTTCTTTAGACTTTTATAATAGTATGCATCTAAATGCATCTGTGTGCAACTTTAAAACGGGTGTCAAAATTCTATTTTAAGACGAAAGAATCTATCATTAATATCTCATTGCATAGGTTATTATCACAAGAGAAAAACATATTTTATTTATTTATTAGAGTATATTATGCATTATTGATTTTGTCCCTTCTTACAACATTCTTTGGATAAAAAGGAATGATAGAGACCAATCATATTAACATAAATAAGATCCATTATGAAATATTGTATTATAAAAATTGTATGTATATTAATCAATATTGTAAATATAAAATATTTCAGAATCATAATTACTCATAATCATTTGGACATAAGATTAGGGCTTATATATGACCAAAAAAAGCCACCGTCTTAGGTCAGCAAGTTTAGTAACTACATAAGATATTAAATATATGATATTACATAAAAATTATAAAGTATTTCCATAAACTTCATTATCATATCTTGACTTTAACTTTAATTGTAGATAGAAAAATGTCACAATAAGGAAGAATTGTCATTAATAAGATTTGATAATGACTTATGACATCATAATATTCTAGTCGTTACTAAGATCAAGAACTGAAGATGTAATTCATGATTTCCTACAAACACATACCTTGACAGAACTCTTGGAAGTTATTGACAAAATCAACAGCTTCTTTCATTCTCATTCTTCAATTCTAATTGCTAGTGATAAAAAATGAGGTCACATTTTTTATGCAACTAGGAATGACACACAACATACTAGCAATAGTTTTAAGGGATGGGTTACAATTATATACATATTTACATACTATCATAAATAGATAATATAGAAATATTAATCAGAAAATAAATCTCTATGTTGAATGTGTCTTAAAGTATTAAGTTCGCTACATGCACCATTATTATGTATGTTTTAGCATTAAATATTATACATATAAAATAAATAGGTAACAACATAAATAATAGTGAAATTTCAATCTACACCTTTTAAACCACGGTGACGTTAGAGTACTATAATATGTATAATTAATGTACAACATTAATTGATTGATGACGTCAAATATGAGTCAATATTTAATTGATGACGTGGAATACTATAAAAAAACTAAACTACGAATATTCATAGAATAGTCATTTTGCACTACTGCTGCACACACTAGAGAGACATTCGTGTTTTCTGTTCCATTCGTGTCTCTGTTGTGAAACAGTTTTCTTTATTTATT